GGTACTATAGAGGAGAGTGCAGATCAGTCCATTGTCCAGTTAATTGAGTCTTGTGCAACGTTAGTGTGATACCACTCAGGTTGAGTGTTGGTATGACTAACCGTTGGGCTGTGTATTATATTTATGAGAGATATTTATGGCAGGTTAATAGTATATATTTGTAAATAGACTCAGGAAGTATACTTTGTGATGTATGCTATATGGGTGTGGGATTTTGTATATGTCTATAACCTGAAAAATAAATGATTGGTACAGGTGTTTATATATAGTACAGGTTATCAACATGTTTTACCATTATGCTTAATAACTAAGGTGATGAGTGCTGTTGTTGAACCTGTAGGATTATATCATGTTTGATTAGTCCAACTTATAATAATTGTTCATATGTGTATGAAAAACCTAATCGCATCTCATCCTTGGGAGATCGGGATAGGGCGTGACATGCCCTCTCTCAACAGCTCAGACACCTGGCCTCGTAAAGACAACAGCTCGAAATCCTTTACCTTCAGGTCTGCATCCTTGGCTTTGATTTCATTATCCTTGGCTGCAAGGTCTGCATATTTAGCCTTGAGCTTGGCCTCCAAGCCCCATATCTGCAACTCTTTTAGCACAATATGGTCCTGATGGCGGGAGTCCAGCTCATCGCTGATCCTCTTCAACTCCATGACCTCGAAAACCAAAACCTGCAGCTTCCCCTCGACAGCGTCCTTGCTAACTGCCATGATGTCAAGAGCATCCTTGGCTTTTTGGAGATCCCGCTTATGATGAAAATCCAACATCTTCACACAGGCAAACGACTATGAAAGAAAAAGGAGATTGGATAACGCGGGAAATAAGAAAAGAATTCAAGAACGACTAAGTAGATAGACGGAACAAGAAGGTACCTCGGACAAACCTTGGATGGTATGCTGGATCTTCCTTTTAAAAGGAACCTCCATCGCTGATTGAGGATCTGACGTGGAGATTAGCTCTGATAGAGCAGTCACTACGGCCTCGGGATCGTGAAGAAAGTTGCCCCCATGCACCTTAGACTTAAAAGGAGTGAACTTCCTTTTTTCACCCTTCGGAGAAACCGTTTCGGGAGAGGCAGAATGGGGGCCAAAAAGTCGAGGTTGTCCGCTGAAGCCCCCTCTGAGCAGGTGTCACCCTTGGAAAGTGCAGATTGCCTCTCCTTCGGTTGAGTTAGAGAATCAGAAGGTAGGGCAAAAAGGGGCGCAGCTTCTGCTGGAGGCATCGAGGATGAAACTAGGGGAGTGGACTCAAGAGCTCCACCGCCAGCGGAACGAAAACGCCCACTAGAGGAAGCCGCGGTGGTCTCCTCGGCCTCCCCACTAACAGACTCCTATTCGGAAGAAGAAATGACAAACTTGTCCATCAAAAGGTCGGATCTCACACCAGAGTGAAGGGAAGGTAAATGCAAGGCACAATCCGCCAAAAATAAAGGCTTCAAACACCAGGCCCTAAGTAAGGATACCCTCACCACTGAAGAATGGCCTACGAATTGCGAAAGGGAAGAAAGGTCGTCAAAGTGTTCTCTAAAATAACTAAACCTCCAAATTAGGAAACAGAATCCAAAACCCCACCAGAGAGGGTTAAATGGATCCAGGTTGAAATAGAAGAAGAAAGAAAGAAGGATGTACCTAGTGAAACGCTAGAGGAAGAGGAGAACTGGAGACGAAGATGTCGTAATTCGCCCAAGAGTCTGTATCAAGACGCTTCGAAAGCACAAAAAGGGAAAGGAACACGAAGAAAAGTGGGACTCAGAACCACAGAACAAAAAGCCAAGAGACTTCCCCCTAGAGGGACGTATATGTATGTGTGAAGCATTAAATTCATGACAGACAAATGACAGGACACGCCATAAAAGTTGTACCCACGAGCTCACCTGATAGTGACACGTGTGCATTACCATCCCATCATCACCGGTAAACGGAGGCATGACCCAATCCTGATCAGAACCAATAGTCGGACACAGTCGTCACTTTGAAAGCCTATAACGAGCCCAAAAAAGTCATTTTTAACCCCAGACAGAAATGATAACATCTTCATGACTAGGGGCTGGGGGGCAACTAATACGAACGAAACTCAAGGCCAGGGCTTTGATGGCCCAAAAGCCTGACCAGCCCAAGAGGCCCAGAGCAGAGAAGGAGAACTTAGCATCGGCAAAAAGCCTATAACCCACAATCCAAGCCCAGTCCAAACCATGAAGCGGTCTGGAGATTGAAAGCCCGATCCAAGCTATTTCTGGATCGCCAGAGAGGACCATGCATCCTAGGGATCTAGGGGACCACTCCTGACACTTACGACAATCTCAGAGAAAGTGGAACACCAAGCCACCAGAGATCGTGGCGACAGTAGCGCCGGATGAACAATGATCGTGGTGGCAGAAGAAGCAAGAGGGGGACAGAGGAAAGGACAGTTGAAGGCCCTAGGAGGGACTAATATAAATAGAAAACGATAACCTAGACAAGGGCAACTCTATCTCCCCAAAAATCAGAGAATATTCAAGAGCCTAAGAGCGTAGAAAATTGAGAGAGAATACCTAGATACTCATCCTTTGTAAGTAGACTCTGAGTCTCGAGTTACAGGAGGCACACCTCCGATCGATGAATATACAAACCCAGTGAACAAGATACTCCGTTGATAGTGAATGTAAACTTAGTTCTTAGGCTAAGGTAAACCACTTATATTCCCAGTCTAACTGACCATAAAAGATTAATCCATAATCTGCAAAACCACTTCAGAACACCATCCCATCATAGTTTGGCTTGGGCCATAATTCCGAGCACCATCAGGTGAGAACTAGTTAATCAGTCCCATCATTTATTTGTATATGGACCAAACATGCTCCAATGGTAGCTCAAATGGTAATAAAGACGAGTTGTAAATTCAAATGTCCTGAGTTTGAATCTTGACAACTCTTTGAGGCTATATCATTAGAGATTTATTCCTTATGAATACTTTAGTCTCAGTGTGGATGACTTATTTTTGACCGGATCAAAAAAAAAATTTGTCGAAGTACGTGTAAGTTGGTCCGAAGACCCCTCACTATTCAACCCAAAAAAAAGAATTAACTAAACTGGATTTCAACAACTCAAGCGAGTGACTAATTTCACACATTTTTCGTTCTACTGGGCGACTAGTTACATTCTTGATTCCATCTGACCTTCATAGATTTATACTGTTACTGTGACTAATTTAATTTTCTGAATGTCAAAACAACCCGAACTGAATAGCTACTAGTTTTAAACAACTGTGTAGGCCCAATTCAGCTGCCCACAGTAGATTGGACTTTTGTGTGGGCCAAATTTCAATGGTGGTACAACCAGGCCTGAAACGGATTCGGCTCATATTACCACACATGAGCCTTAACTTAATTAACACCTACTGGATCCAAGCAGGCTAGAAAAGCCTCTGGATCCGGGTCAAAATATTTTAGATGGTATTTGATAAGTCAATTCAGTAAATATGAAACATGTCACAATGTTTAGTCTAAGCGTTAAAAATATAACATGATTCATTAACACGACACGACACGTAATTAGAGAATTTGTATCTTTTTTATGCCACCCGTTTTATAAACAAATAGACCGACATGACACGATTAATATACGAATCGGGTATGGATAAAATCAATTAAAAGAAATAAACAACAAGACTCGTTAGACACAAATTAATAAATAAATTAGATACGAATAAAATGCTTTTTCACAAAACCCATTAATATCGAACACGAACTCGCTCGACAGACATAGCTAAGCATAAGTAAGCTTGGGAAGTGCATTCTCCACCAACAAATCAAAATGTTTGAAAAAACACAGAAAATTTCCTAAAAAAAATATTTAAAACTAGTAGAGCTATGCATAAATTCTAAATTCAAATATCCGTTTGATAGGAATGATAAAAAATAAGAGGGATAGAAAAGTAAAAAAAATATAACTTTATATCATTCAAGATAAGAAAGTAAGAATGATACGCTTTGATTCATTTGTGTTTGATAAGATGGATGAAAAATAAAAATAAATTTTTTTTTTGCTTGGTAATATAAAAAAAATATTTATATTTATATTTTATTTTTTAAAAATTTTATTTTAAAATTTAAAAAAATTATAAATACATATTTTATCATTGTATTTATATATAAAACTAATATATATATATATATATATATATATATATATATATATATATATATATATATATATATATATATATATATATATTAAAGTATATATAGACAAATAAGATACATTTTAACATAAATAATTAAATTTTCTTATAATTTTAGTGAATTAGAAAGAAAATTCATTCATCTATTTTTTTTATCATTCTTATTTTTTTTCATTACTAAACATGATATTTTATTTATCCATCAAATTTTTTCATTTTTTCAGCTTTTTATCCTTTTAATCATATAAAACGGAACATTAATTTCACTATGGATGGTTTGTCTTTTATCAGATCAGAAAAAAAAATTAATCGAACTACGCGTAAATTAGGTCGGACACCCTCACAGTTAAAAAAAAAATAAAAATTAATGCAATCAAATTTCTTGAATTGAATGTTGAAAGTTGAATTTGTTGCTTCAAAGTAATATTTGGAGCCACCTTTCACTGAGTAATATTTAGAATTTATTCTTCAATAAATACAATTCCAAACCCCAATTAAAAAAAAAAAATTCATGCATCTGCACGAGCACGACCTTTTCAAAAAAATCCAGTTGGATCCGACCCGACTTACATGCCATTTGGAGTCTTCGCTCTTCGCCCTTCGCTCACCGTCTTATAAAACCTCTTTCATATCCCTCCTTTACTTTCAAGTTCAAATACTCTCTGATCAGCTTTTTGGAAATAATAGATCACTCTGGTATTTTCTCTCTGTCTTTCGATTCATACACTCTGTATTTGAATGTATATATACACAAGATCCTAGAACAATATTCGAAATCTTTCTAAAGCACACATCAAAACCCTAGAAGCACAGTTGTAGTGCACTTACAAATGGAGTGGAACACAGAAACCCTACAGTTTCTTTCTCAATGTTTCCTCAACACACTCTCTCCTCTCCCGGAACCCCGCCGCCGTGCTGAGGCGGCGCTGGCTGAGGCCTCCGATAAACCCAACTTCGGCCTTGCCGTGCTCCGCCTGGTAGCCGAGCCCTCCGTCGACGAACAGACCCGTCAAGCTGCCGCCGTTAACTTTAAAAACCATCTCAAATCGCGGTGGGTTACCAGTTCACCCAATGAGTCGAATCTCCCATCCCTAATTCAAATTTCCGACCCGGAAAAAGCCCAAATCAGGTCCCTGATTGTTTCTCTAATACTTCAATCCAGTCCCCGAATCCAATCACAGTTATCTGAAGCCCTAGCCATGATCGGTAAATATGATTTTCCGAAATCGTGGTCCACTTTGCTTCCTGAGCTCGTTTCGAGTCTTAGTAGTGTTAGTGAAGCAAATGATTATGCTTCTGTTAATGGAATCCTGGCTACTGTAAATTCGTTATTTAAGAAATTTCGGTATCAGTTTAAGATCAATGATTTGCTTATTGATTTAAAATACTGTCTTGATAATTTTGCGAAGCCATTGTTGGACATTTTTAAGCGAACTGCTGGATTGATTGATGTATGGGCTAGTTCGGGTCAGCCAGCTGAGAAGCTTAGGGAATATATTGAGTCTCAGTGGTTGTGCTGTAGAATATTTTATTCCTTAAATTTTCAAGACTTGCCTGAGTTTTTTGAGGACCATATGAGTGAGTGGATGATTGAGTTCAAAAAATATTTAACCGTGAGATACTCGGCTCTTGAAGATGGTGGGGGTGATGGGCTCTCATTGGTTGATGAGCTGCGAGCTGCGGTGTGCGAGAATATAAGTCATTATATGGAAAAGGAAGAGGAGTTGTTTCAGGGGTACTTGGGTGGTTTTGTTGAGGCTGTTTGGAGTCTCCTTGTGATTGCTTCTGCATCTTCTAGTCGTGAACGGCTAACTGTGACAGCCCTCAAGTTCTTGACCACAGTGAGTACCAGTGTTCACCACACTTTATTTGCAAGGGATGACATTTTGCAGCAAATTTGTGGAAGCATTGTTATCCCGAATGTCATGTTAAGGGATGAGGATGAGGAGTTGTTTGAGATGAATTATGTTGAGTTCATAAGGAGGGATATGGAAGGGAGTGATCTTGACACGAGGAGGAGGATTGCTTGTGAACTTCTTAAGGGAATTGCCACAAATTATAAGGACAAGGTTACAGAAAAGGTTTCGGTTCAGATACAAAATCTTTTGGCCTTGTTTGCTGAAAATCCAGCTGCAAATTGGAAACACAAGGACTGTGCTATTTATTTAGTTGTTTCACTTGCAACCAAAAAGGCAGGTGGTAGCTTGGTCTCGACTGATCTTGTGGATGTTGAGAGCTTTTTTGGAACAGTCATTGTACCCGAGTTACGAAGCCAAGATGTGAATGAGTTCCCAATGCTGAAGGCGGGAGCATTGAAGTTTTTCACTATGTTTAGGAATCAGATTTCAAAACCTGTTGCAATGGCTTTACTTCCTGACGTGGTTCGGTTCCTTGGTTCAGAGTCAAATGTGGTTCATTCTTATGCTGCGAGTTGCATCGAGAAGCTCTTGTTGGTCAAGGATGATGGGGTGAGGGCGAGATATACATCATCTGATATCAGTCCTTTTTTGCTGGCTTTGATGACCAACCTTTTTGGTGCCTTGCAGAATCCAGAATCAGAGGAGAATCAGTATGTAATGAAATGCATCATGCGGGTGCTTGGAGTAGCCGATATTACTACTGAGGTTGCTGCCCCTTGCATCACCGGGCTAACTTCTGTCCTCAATAAAGTCTGCGAGAACCCGAAAAACCCCATCTTCAATCACTACCTCTTTGAGGCATTGGCTGTTCTTGTCAGGCGTGCCTGTGAAAAGAACCCTTCGCTTATATCAGCATTTGAAGCAAGCCTTTTCCCCAGCCTCCAATTGATATTAGCCAACGATGTATCAGAGTTTTTCCCTTATGCGTTCCAGTTGCTGGCTCAGCTCGTTGAGTTGAATAGACCTCCGATTCCACAGCACTATATGCAGATATTTGAGATCCTCTTGTTGCCTGATTCATGGAAGAAATCCGCAAATGTTCCAGCTCTTGTGCACTTGCTTCAATCCTTCCTTCAGAAGGCACCATATGAACTTAACCAAGAGGGGAGGTTAACTCGTGTGCTTGGAATATTTAACAAGCTGGTTTCATCCTCTAGCTCAGATGAACAAGGATTTTATGTGCTCAACACAGTTACAGAGTACCTTGGATATGATGTGATTTCACCCTACATGGGCCACATTTGGGCTTCCCTGTTTACACGGCTTCAAAACAGCAGAACAGTGAAGTTCATCAAGTCTCTGGTGATATTCATGTCTCTAATGCTGGTCAAGCATGGTTCTCAGAACCTTGTGGATTCGATCAACACTGTTCAGCCCAATATTTTTCTTGTCATCTTGGAGCAGTTTTGGATACCTAACCTCAAGTTTATCACAGGTTCCATTGAGCTTAAGTTAACTTCAGTTGCTTCGACTAGACTCATCTGTGAATATCCAGGCCTATTGGATCCTGCAGCTGGTAGACTCTGGGGGAAAATGCTGGACAGCATTGTTACTCTTCTCTCGCGGCCAGAGCAGGATAGAGTGGAGGAGGAACCAGAAGTTCCCGATTACGGGGAGACTGTTGGTTATAATGCCACCTTTGTACATCTGTACAATGCTGGCAAGAAGGAGGAGGATCCTCTTAGAGAAATTAAGGATCCAAAGCAATTTTTGGTTAATTCACTTGCAAATATTTCTGCTCTTTCACCTGGGAGGTATCCCCAAGTCATTGCTGAAAATCTTGATCCCGCAAATCAAGCAGCAGTACTCCAGCTTTGCAGCTCTTATGGCCTCTCCATAGTTTGAGAAAGATGCTGCCTCAAAGTATGTTCCTCTTTTTTGTCTCCTCTCTCAGTATTGTGTAATTTTTTAGCCATGAAGTGACACATCTTATCTGACTCCCTTAAGTTCTATTTAAAGGGAATTCTGTGTGAACTTGGAGATATTATCTTGTTTTTTGTGTGGTTGTCAACTTCAATTGTAAAATCTTTGTTTTTATCTGATTAGTTTTGCCAGTATGACAAATTGCCAAATACTTGGATTTTTCCCTCTCTGATCTTCACACTAGAGGTTATGTCTAGATTTCTTGTTTGAATTATTACATCCATTATGTTTTGAATGGTAGCAGAACATTAGAAGTCTAAATGATTGGCTTTCTCATCGTCATCTTCATGAAGACTGTTTTACGGCCTTTTTTCTCAATAAATTTTGCACTCTATAGAGAATTGATGCACTATGTTTTTTTGTGTATTTACGAGCTGAGGGGGGCAGTCATGCTTTCAACTATAGTGGTTTTCGAACGTCCACTGGCACAATAGCACATTATACACTTACAGAACATAAAAAGTGAAAAATCTCTATTGCCACACCCCACCCAAAAAAAATCTATATCTAAACCACAATCATAACACCCTGGCCTACACTTTATCTATTTCTCTACCCCTTACCCTGTCCCTGTAACCCTACTCCCGCCTACCTAACTACGTACATGTCATAGCTAGCCGCCGCCATTTTTCTGCTTGTCATAGTTACCACCCTTTTCATCTGCAAATCATAGCCACCGAACAACACCCCCTTCTACGCGTCCCTTATGTTTGGATATTGATTTTTTGTTTTAATCTGGAACTCAATTTCAATTTTGGATCGGTCTCGTGATTGAGTTGGAAATCGACTTCTCCAACCGCCACATCTCCTTTTGCCATGGCCATCAAACACCATTCCTCTACTACTCTTTCTTGTTGTTTGGATACTGATTTTAATTTCTATTTGGAAGATGATTTCGATTTTGAATTTTGATTTTGTAATTGATCTGGAAATCAAATTCCAATTGCAATTCTTGGTCTGAAATTTGTACATGGGTGTGTGGAGTCTGATGCTTGGAGATGGTGGTATGGTTGGAGAGTGGGTGTGGGTGTGGGTGTAGGTGTAGGTGCTGTGGGTGTGGGGTTGTGGTGGAGGTAGTTGTGGCGTAGTGGTGGATAATTAGTTGTGACAACAGTGGGAGTGTTGTGGTGGAGGTGGAGGCGGTTTGTGGCATGGTAGTGGTGGTTGTAGGTTTATGATCGGATGTAGGGATAGGGAAGGGCGGATTATGGGTTGGGGCATGGAGGAGTTGTAGCGGTGGAGTGTTGATCTCATCCCTGTCTGGTCATCAGATAATTAAACATGCTTAACAATTTCGCTGCCATCCGTGCACATTTGTAATGTTAGCTTGTCACTTAGCCCCTGCATTTATTGTGAAAGTACTGATGCATGTTGTAATAAACCTCATGTATATCTATGTTGTGCTGATCCCTACTTAATTTCTTTTATTGAATTTGTTTAGAGATTTTTGTCCTACATTCTCGTGATTCTTTATCTAAATAAGAAGAAAAAAAATAATAAAAACACAGTTAATTACCCATTTGTGCAAATTTGCAGGTTCTCATATGATGATAAGGAAATGATTTGGATTTGTGGTCACAGTTTTGCTGAGTCTGGTGTTGTCCCACTGCATCTGTGAGCAAATGGAACTTTTGCATTGCATTGCAACCAACTGTGTCAGTTGGGTAAGCATCAATGTGTCTTTTGCAGGATGTTATGCAGCAGAGTTTGCTTCCTTCATGGTCACGGTATGTCCCTTGTCGTGCCTACCTCATTATCTATGAGTCTGGTTCAACATGCTTTTATGGCAAATGTTGCATTGCATGTACCTTGCGGTTAATCATGTTGTACCTTAAAACAACTTCATTTTTTTTGGTGTCCTCCCTCTAGCATTTGCATCATTCGGTGTGGTTAAGTCAGTTATGTCGGGAAGAAATATTGTATTTTTTTGAGGAAATCTGATTGAGTTGTCAAATTTAATTATTATTTTTGAGTAATTTAATTTGCATATCCCTTTTTCGTTAGAAAACAAAAGTTTTGTCTGGAAACTTGGGATTGTTCTATAAGATGGTCACCTCTTGTTTCAATTATACCTGATGTCTTTTGCGTGACGAGCATACTGAGTTCACTGTATGCGTCCTTTAATACTTTTTTGTGTGTGTGTGTGTGTTTTTTTTTTTTTTTTTTGGAATGGGTTTCGGACAGACGGAGCTTTCCTTTTTGGGTCTCTATTTTTAGAGGTTTAGAGTGGCTGTTTCCTTTGTCATTAAAGTGGTGGATGATATTTGAAAGAAAGGTAAACAATAAATGGTCGTTGCTCGGAGTGTTATTTTTGCATCAGTACATGTTTGGGAGTTGTGTTATTAGAGCATTTTTTGCTTGGACTTAATTTGTCAACCTCATAACAATAAACTTAATTGCTTCGTTTGATAAGAAGGATGAAAATAAGAAGAGTATATTTTTTATCTTTCAAGGAAGAAAAGTAGGAATAATATATATTTTTTTTTTTGTATTTGGTAGAATGGATGAAAAATAAAAGTGATTAATTTTTTATTTTGGCTAAAATTAGGAGTGACAATCAAGTCGTGTTGAGTCATTACAGGTTTGTGTCAAACATTAGTTATATTTAACTCAATTTATTTAACTAATTGTGTTGTGTCGAGTTGCGAGTTGACTTGTTTATTTTTATGTCGTGTTGTGTTCCTGTTGACTTACATAAACTTTGAATAAAAAATTTAACGCTAATATTTTATTTTTTATTTTTTAAAAAATATATATATAAATAAATATTTATCATTGTATTTTTGTATGAAATTAATATATACGTAATATATGTATATAATATATTAAAAGATATATAGACAAATAAGATACATTTCAACACAAATAATTAATTTTTCATTTTTTTTTTTTCTGATTTTGGAGGGATTGATTTTGGTGAGTTAGAAGAAAAGTTAATTTATCCACTTTTCTTTCTTTCTTATTTTCATTTCTTATCAAATATGATATTTTATTTATTGTTTAAATTTTTTATTTTTTAAATTTTTTATCCTTTAATTTTTTCATCATATTAAATGGAGTAAAATAAGTTTTAAAGAGATGGAAGGTTTTGCAGCTTTTTACGGATGACAAATGATGAATTTCGAGCAGAAAAAAACAAAGGAGAAATGGAGGCATCCTGTTAGGTTACTGACACAATATACATTAATGTTTCGTTTGATACGATAGAAAAATAGAAGAATGAAAAGTTAAAGGAATAAAAAAAAATCATGTTTGTTAAAGAAAGAAAATAGGAAGGATGAAAAAGTAAATGAATTAATTTTGCTTCCAACTCACCAAAATCAATTCCTCTAAAATTAAAAGAAAAGTGGATGAAAAATTAATTATTTGTATTGAGATGTATCTTATTTGTTTATATATTTTATATATATATTAATTTCATATAAAAATACAATGATAAAATATGTATATATATTTTAAAAAATTTTAAAAATAAATTTTAAAAAAATTAAAATTTTAAATTAAAAAAATATTTTTTTTCATTTTAACTAAGGGTGAAAATTTTAATCTCAACACAATAACACAACTCGAATTCGATATGAAAATAAACAGGTCAACACAATTAGTTAAATGAATTAAATTAAATTTAATTAATATTTGATAAAAACTCGTAATGACGTAACACGAATCTGACACAATATGATTTGACTTGATTGTCACCTCTAATTTTAGTCAACACAAAAAAAAAATTAAAAAAAAATAATTATTTTTATTTTTCATCCATCTAACCTAATACAAAAAAAATAAATTATATATTTTTTATTTTTCATCCTTCAAAGATAGAAAATGTATTTTTTTTACTTTTTATCCTTTCTATTTTTCATGCTCCTTACTGAACGGAAGAGTTGTGTTGATCTATTCTATTAACAGGGGTGTGGTCATCATTCTGACGTCATCATGTGTAAGGCTTTAATCATCGTTCTTGAGCCCAACCGTCAATCACCTAAACTCCAATAATATAATACAATACAATGCATTAGTAGATAAATGGAGAAAATAATAGGCACAATCTCTTTTGAGTAAATCCAAGAAAAAAAAGAGAGCATAAGCCCTCTTCTTTTATTCTAAAGTATCATTCGAAATGATGTAAAGATTTTACACATTTCAATCCTAGATGATTTTTAATTTTTTTTTTTTTTTTTGAATTTGCAAATATAGAAGAGGAGAAAATTGAATTTGAATTGTCTTGATTCTAGGTTGTATTTAATTGTAGTGAATTTTTTTTATTATATATATATATTCTTTTTAAGATCACTATAATAAATTCATGTAACATTTATAAGTTTAATCGGCGAGTCCGGAAAGACACACGAAGGGTTCTACGTAATTGAGTAAAATTAAGGAAATATATATTAGAGAATTTGAATTTGGTCTATCCTATGATTTGCAAGGAGGCCTATGTTTTGGTACCCTCCGAAGTCCTAACCCAATTTGCTTGCCTACTTTTATCTGTGATTTGATTGTTTGTTAGGCCATCAATTGGCCAACCAGAGACCAACAATATGCTTATTGACTTGGTGGTAAGTTTACCTAATTAGATCAATCATCCACCATCCATGCGACTCTTTACGTTGTATTACATTAGATATGGTGTACCCGTTATACTCAATATTTTTTCCATGTTTGGGCAGTCGCTCCGGTTAGAATCATGTTAGACCAAGAAATACAAAATTTCTTTCTGTACGGTTGTCATGGGATTCCCTTGAATTTCCCTCTTCTCATACTCCCAAACAGCTATCAGTACGTGGGTGTAGGGGGGGGGGGGGGGGGTGTTGGAGAGAGAGAGGTCTAATGATGGACCTCCAAACCAGTAGCTTTTCCACCTACTCATGTATAAACTTTGATGAGTTGGGTCGTGTGCTTAGAAAGAAAAAATGAATGTCAATTCATCCCATGATGTTTAATCTTAAAATGGATAATGGGACCTGGGAAGTGTCATATGACATTAAAATTCGACCGTTACTGCATGAATTTACTAAGCCAAATAAAATTTTAAATGTCGAGTAAAATTGAAATTTTTGTCGATTACCCCCTGTATGTTGATTATTACTTGGATCAAATCTCATATTTAATCATGTGAATTTTATATCTCATGATTGTTATTTCGGCGCTTAAAAAGATTCCATTCACTAGTTAATTTGCTAACTAAAACTAGTCTTGAAGGATCTCCCTAGCTTGATCCTTCAAAGAGTGAAGTTGAGTAGATGGAACAACTTTGATTGGACACAGGTTTATGTTGGAGTCTTTGTTGTGCCTTTTTAACAGTAAATTAAACATAATCATACATTTTTGCTTACATGGAATTAACCAAGTGAAGGGAGGGACTCCACTCCACTCCTCTCCTCTCCTATAAAACTATATAACCCAATTGTCCCATGATTTGTCTTCACATGTTTCTTTGAAGTTTCCTATGACCCAGATTAAATAAACTAATCTCTCCTGCTTATTCTTTAATAATTTGTAGGGTGCCCCACATCAAGTAGACTAAAACCTGGTGGTGGGCGTGGGGAGGGGGTAACTCAAACCCACCTTGTCAACCAATCATGAAATTTACTATAGGTCAACTTCTCTCTTCACCACTCAATAATAAACCCTACAAAAGGACAAGATAAATTATATTTGGGTAGTTATTAAATGACATGACATAGTGATTATTATAATATATGTGATTCATCTGTTTATTTGTTATGTTTTTATTAGACGGTAATACCACGAAACAATTATGACGTAGTGTCAGAATACGCCTAATATTTTTTCCACCATCCAACCCCAACCCCATCCAATAGAACACTTGACTTTAAAAATTCCCAATGAGAAAAGTAGTTTTAAGAAGATAAAAAAAAACAAAAAGGAAATAGGATTTTCAGTATCTTAAAAGATTCTGTCAAGATTCCAAGACTTTATAAAAAAAAGTTTATTGAGAAATTGAATAAAGAGAAATGGTTTGGTCTCCCCATGATCCAAATGGGACATAGAGAACAAAAAGGATGAGATCTTCGAGGTGCTTAATTCAACTTAGGTATCTTGGGACGGCAAGATGAAATAACTACATGTGATGAACAAGTCTTTTTCTTGTCTTGTTAGGAGTACTATAGTTGGAATTTAGCACCTAATCATGTAATTATTGTCCAAATTCCACATTATTATACTTAATTAACTTATTCGCATCAAGTTTTGAAGAAATTCCAACGTAATTGCTAAGCAAAAAAGGTTGCATTCCAACCTTTGTGGATGATTGGTTTAGCACAGGTTAGGTTTCTCTACGTCATTATTAATAGTTCATGATTTTGTTTGAAGAGCTGTATTCCAATGACTAATGAGACTGTTTATTAGAAAACAAAGGCTTTCTATGTCATATTATGCCAAAAAGAGTAAAAATAAAAAACAAAAAATTCCACAGCAACGTATTTAATCAATCTTTAAGGTTTTATTTTGGAAAAATTGCAGTCATTGAACATGGAACGTATGCATGACTAATGTAGGGGCAGTTAGAATATATGATGAATATAGGAAGGGTAAGAGAAGAACATTCCTCGAAGTTTACAAAATTACTTTGTATTATGCTATAGTTAAATAAAAGATACTAAATTTCTAAGAAGTCTATAGTCGTTGAAGGTAGTACTATTTAATAGAAGTAATCTTGTTTAAAAAAATTTAATTGTTTTCGACAGCTAAAAAGGTGGGGTACAAAATTTATTGGATATATCTTGTTGCAAAAAAATAGGGGTCAAAGTAGTTGCTTGGTGTTAAAAAGATGCAAAGTAGGAATCTAATCCTCCTTTGTAGATTGACTAAAGTTGGGTCTTTCACCCTCTCCTTTTCTTTTGATTGTTGTTCTCTATAGATGGCTGAAAGAACTATTAGTTTACCCAAGCTGCATAATAAT